AGAAAGAGACCTAAAGAGTGGGTGGCACTGGGAACTCAGGAAAGGAGGTCCCCTTTGCCCAGCACCTGCTATGTGGTATCACACGCACTTTCTCAGGGCAGCCACACTGTGGGCTGGTTTAGTGTCAGGTGGGGAAACTGAGGGAGGTAAAGTAGTTTGTCCAAGATTGCATAGCTGCTAAGTGGTAGATCTGGGATTTGAACCCAGAACTCTCTGGTTTTAACCTCTGAACTACAGGGCCTCCCTGTGGGGTGCCCTCTCAGGGCAAATTCAGGGGACTCAGGCCGTTGCTGCTCCCTCCTGCTTGGGACAGCTCCGGGCAGGGCCCGCCCTGGCTATCCTCTGACCCCCAGCAGGGCAGGGCGTACCGAACACAATGAGCCGGGTGTGTGTGTCAGTGGCGCCCAGGGGGTTCTGGGCTGTGCAGCGGTACATGGAGCCGTTAAGCTCGGCGGGAACCCGCTCCAACACAAGCTCCTTCCCGTCGAACTCGGTGCTGCCATCCAGGAGGCGGCTCCCGACCCGTGTCCACGTGAACATGGGCTCCGGGAAGACTTCGTTCTGTTGGCCAGAGCAGATGAGAGTCCGGTCACAGGAGGAACCTTTCGGCCAGAGCAGGAAGGGGTCAAAGTATGGCCTGGCCAGGGCTGGCAACGCACGCTCGAAGAGAAAGGCTCTAGGGCTGGAAAGAATGTCCCCCAAGCGCTATGTCCTCTCTGAGCCCTGGACGGGAGAGCCACAACGTGGGCTTCTCCAGCCAGGCCTCATCCAAACTGAACATGCTGCTATGGATGCTGGTGCCCCTCCCACCTCTCCCTGCCCAGATACTGAGAGACAGGCTGACCTGAAATCCGTGGACCAGAATCCTCACGGTGTCCCCGACCCGGGCTCTGCTGGGTGTCATCACGATTTGGGGTCCTTTGGGGGCCACTGCAGGGAGAGGAAGGTCAGGTCAGTCTGAGGGAGGGGCACTGAGCCAGGAAAGGAAGGGCAGGGGAGACCCAGTCCTTGGGATTGACTGCCGCTGGGCTAGGAGCTACGTGGGGGCTCATTCA